GAACCTTCACCGCAGTCTCGAAAGATTGTTCACGTAAATGTTTCGGGCACGATTGTAGTAGGGTTTTCTTCTTGCATTCTATTCAGACACAATGTATTTCATAACTTCATCCAAGCAGGGAGGCAACATTCACCCCAATTTCAAAAGGTTGTTCATGTTAGCGTCCAAAGCACAACTGTAGTGGGGAAGTCATTTCATATTTTATTAAGATTACAAGTCTTAGAGAATCACTCATTGAATAGAATACAATCTTCACCACAAATAACACTTCCTCAGTGCCCCCTCATCATACTAGAATTCATTTTCAACTAAATCAGGAAGTTGGTCTCTTCAAGACAAGATTTATGGATTGTTTTACAAGCTTGTGAGAAAAACACGGTCGCTAGAGAAACAATAAATTCAAAAGCAGCAAATAACAAACTGCCAAACATTATTCTTGTGTATGACTACAACCTTGTTTCCAAGAAATCATACGGTTCATTGTGACTTATGCCCTAATCTTAAGAAATGCATAGCATCTCTGACATTTCATTTAGGGCTTAATTGATCCTAGGGAGACTTGATTCAACCTCTTCCATCACATGCTACAATCGTTAAGAAATAGTTTCGACTAACAACCTCAGATATATAAAAAATTCTTGGTGGACTTTCTTTGATCTTATCCATACTATGTTACGGTTGTCAAACAAAAGCTTCGACCAACAACCTAGGATAGGTCAACCGTCCATTTCATATGATTTTGTCTATTACGGTTTATATAGTCATGCACCTCGACAAGACAACACAAGACATGTCTTATAGCTTTAGTGGATTCTTCTTTCAACTCTGCTCCAACATACGCTGCATTCATCCGACAGACACACTTTGACTAACAATATAAGAAAAGTAAAACATTCACAATGGCAAAGGTCTCCATCGGTACTTTTAGAGGTCGAATCAAATAGACAAGACTTGACGGGAAGATATGATACTTCTAGAAGTCAAACCCAAGAGACAAGACTCAATGAAAAACTGTCATAGCCTTGGAAGTCAAGCCGAAGAAGTAAGGCTCGATGAGAAGACATGGTACACCATGAAGTCAAGCTCAAGAGCCAAGACTCAATGAGAAATTACCATGCCCCTTGATGTCAAGCCCAAGAGACAAAACTTGATGGGAAGATTCGGCATACCTAGAACTCAAGCAGAGAAGTTAAGACTCAATGGACAGCTACCATGCCCCTAGAAGATGAGCCCAAAAGACAAGGTTTGATACATGGTCCTCACTAGAAATCTCCACGAGAGCAAGTAGTTGGCATGCTCTCCAATCAAAGACATCAGAAGGCTACAAGCCTTGGAAGTTATATCAAAAGACCTCAGAATGCTATCAGCCGCATAAGACACGAATAAATGAAAAATCTCAT